GCTGTCCCTCAGCTCTTCAGCTCAAGGCTAGTGCTCTACCACTTGAGCCACAGCACCACTTCCAGCTTTTTCTGCTTATGTGGTGCTGAGGAATCGAATCCAGGGCCTCCTGAATGCAAGGCAAGCACTCTATCACTGAGTCACCTTCCCAGCTCTAGTCATATTTTTTACTTGAATTAAATATAAACCTAGATATCTTTAAAGTTTTAAAATATTTTATTGGTAGATAATTCTTATACATCTACTTGGTGCAGAATGTGATGTTTGGGTACATTTGTATATTATGTATTATCCAACTCAGGATACTTGGGTTTTAGATAATGTGCTTAGAGTTGGGCTTTTAAAGTCAGGACCATTGACCAATTTGGCTTTCTATACCATGATAGCTATTCTATTGATAATAATGTAGAAAACATAATAGCTTGGGGTTAGGAGAGATGAAGGAGAAGAATGAAAGGGGTAACATTGATGCATTGTACTCACAAACTGACATGTTGAACTAGAATGTCTTTTACAATTACTTAAAGATCATTGAAAAAAATTACAGGTTCACGCCTGTAATCTTACCTGCTCAGGAGGCTGAGATCTAAGGATAGCAGTTTGAAGCTAGCCTGGGCATGAAAGTCCATGAGACTCTTATCTTCAACAAATTACTGAGAAAAAGTTGGAAGTAGTGCTGTGTCTCAAGTGGTAGAGTGCTAGCCTTGAGCACAGAGTAGCTCAGGGACAGAGCCCAGACCCTGAGTTCAAGCCCAGGACTGGCAAACAACAACAACAATTTTTTTTAAAAATTGTCTTTCTCTCTAGAGAAAACATACAATATGCCTTGGTATAATATCTTATTTTTTATCAGTTATAAAATAGATAATAAATACACAAACTAATAGAAAATAAAAGTCAATCTGTATAATTATAAATGTGGTTCCTATTTTTAAGACTTCAGGTAAATCTAATTAATTCTTGCATACTTTTAAAATATTTTAATCATTTTATAGAAAAGCCCATGTACTTTATATGAAATGTTGACACAAGCATCATGGTCACAACATGAGCAGGATGTTAGATTGAGTCAAAAATAGAAGCTATAAGCACTGTTACTGTCACACTGCTCTTACCTTTTCTTTGTGATCACAGAGTAGTTCAAAACTTTCCATCTTGCCAGATTCATTCAAGCGTAAACGATCTGCCTTCTGCAGAAGAACATCTAACTTCAGTTCCTCTACATGTGTGTTAAATGCTTTTGCCACTGGAAAATTCTGTTCTTCTGTGTCAGTATTAGCTGTCATATACCTAAAATTGCAGGAACAACTGTCATCTCCTTTGGAAGTGATACATTAACAGCCAAACAGGTTCTCTAAAAAAGGCAAGTTAAATTGCAAGGGTGTCTGCTATCTGAAAAAAAGCTCAAGTCTGACAGTCTACCAGGCCTTGTGCAATATCCCCACCCTATTCAACACGAATGCTTCTCTGACCTTTATTCAGGTTGTCTAGTAAAGCCTGTCATGCTCCTACTCAGGACCTCTACCTTCTAATCTTGAGCGTGTGCATGTGTGTGTATACATGTGTGTGTGCATGTGTGTCACACTGTTCCCTTAGACAGCCATGTAACCCATATTGTTAATTCTTTCATGTCTGTACTCAAATAACATTTTTCTGAGTGTGGCCCCATCCAGACCATGGTATTTAATGCCATAACTCTCACACTACCTTTAGTTTCAATTTCCTGATATACTAGATTTTCCCCCTTTAACATAATATGATGTAGTATATTACTATGAAATTTATTAATTTCCTACACATGCTCTTTCACTATAAATATCAAGTTCCCAGAACAGTGCCTAGATATTGTACACATTCACTAACTGTTGGTGAATGGTGTTCTAAGCAACATACAGTCTTATCAGCAAGTTCTGTTGGTTCTATCTAGGGAATATATACAGAATTTAGCCATTTTAGTCCATTACCACACTGGGCTACACCATTAACATCTCATCTGGATTAATGCAATGGCCTCTTTCATGTATCCTGGGCTTTAATCCATGATTCATATAGTCTTTTATTAACACATTAGTCATTATGAACCTTCAAAAACTTCCATCAGATCATGTTTTTTCTTTACTTAAAATCCTGCCACAGATGCCCAAATCAGAGCAAAAATCTCAGCCCTTTCAATAGTCTAAAAGGCCTTACACAACCTGAGCCAGTGTAAGGTTGCAGGATATAAAATCAACATACAAAATCAATTGTCTATATTGCAAATGAACAATTCAAAGATGAATGAAGACAATTCCACTTGTGATACAATTTTTAGAAATATAGTTAACAAAAAAAACCCACAAGGAAACTAAAGATGAAAAGCTGTTAAAGACCTGGTAAATAAATCTTACATTCATGGGTTGAAAGACAATAATATTAGGATGCAATACTCCTAAAAAGACAATCCATAGAACACGAGAAAATACTTGTAAAACATATGCCTAAAAGGAATAACTATAAGAACTATAACTTGATAATAAACACCAATAATCAACTTAAAAATGAGCAATTATGAATTAAGTACACTTTAAGGGAAGTGTGTGTGTGTGTGTGTGTGTGTGTGTGTGTGTGTGTGTGTGTGTGTTCTGGTCCTGGGGCTGGAACTCAGGGCCTAGGAGCTGTCCCTGAGCTTCTTTGGTCATGGCTAGTGTTCTACCAGTTGAACCACAGTTCCACTTTCAGTTTTTTGGTGACTAATTGGAGATAAGAGTCTCTTGGACTTTCTTGCCAGAGCTAGCTTCTAACTATGATCCTCAGATCTCAGCCTCCAGAGTAGACAGGATTACAGGTGTGAGCTACTGGCACAGCTGCTAAGAGGATAACCCTGTTTTGTTGTTGTTGTTCACTAGTGGTGGTCATAGGGCTTGAACTCAGGCTCTAGGCACTGTCCCTGAGCTTTTCTGCTCAAGGCTAGCACTTTATCACTTTGAGCCACAGCTCCACTTCTGATTTTCTGATGGTTAATTGGAGATAAGCGTCTCAGGGATTTTCTAGCCATGTGAGTAGCTAGGATTACAGGTGTGAGCCACCAGTGCCTGGCTGAGAATAACTTTTATAGTAAAGAAATACGTCAATCTTGAGAATCTTAAGGAGATAATTAAGTAAAATAAGACAGAAAATAGCAGAAACTATACAACTCCACATATAAGAGACAAAACATAAAAAGTGAGTTGGTGGCACATGCATGTAATCCTAGCTACTCAGGAGGCTGAGATCTGAGGATTACAGTTAGAAGTGAGTTGGTGCAGGGAAGTCTGTGAGACTCTCCAATTAAATACCAAAAAGCCAGAAGTAAAACTTAAGTGTCTCAAGTTATACAGCATTAACCTAGAGTGAAAAAAAGCTCAGGGATAACCCTGAGTACGTGTCCCAGGACCAGCACTAAAAACAAAAACAAAAACAAAAACAACTAACATAGAATGATGGTTGGCAGAGACTGAGAGGATTATTGTTAAATGGATGATAAGAGTTATGGCGATGATTGGTCCTGCTGGTTGTACAACAACATGAATGTATTTAATGCCATTGAACTGTACATTTAAAATTTTACAGTGATGAACTTTATGTTGTGTGAATTTCATTACAACTGAAAAATGTAAGATTTAAAACATTTTCAAGGTGTTTTTGTACATGGTTGAGGTATCTTGCAAAAATAGTTCATTACTTTCTTGTCCCAGGAAACTCCATAAAATCAATCAAGCGAAGAGGTTCAAAACTTTGTGTTCAAAGAGAAACTGATATGGAGTAACTGCTATCAAAAAGCTACTGAGGATCTGAAAGATGTCACTTTAAACAAGCATTACAATGGAGCCAGTCGACATGCCCAGGCTAAATACCAGATTTGGACATAAGGCTGGTGGCCCTAGTGCTGAATTTTTGTTTGGTGTACCAAAAATGCAAGTGATTCAACTTTAAGAGTTTAGGCATAGATTTTCTGGCCATTGACCATATCCAGGTGGGGAACAAAGCATTTAAGATGCATCACCATTCTGACAGAGCTTGGAGTAGAATAAACCCTTACCTGCGCAACCCCTACCACATTGAGGTTTTCCTACTGAAAACCTAACAAATTGTTCCTAAACCATAAGAAGCTGTCCAGAAAAAAGATATTCCAGAAGAAACAAAAACTATGGCATGGAAATTAATTCAGCATAACATAAATGCAAATAAAATGATTAAGTTAAAAATCCTATATACATCTATTATGACATCGTTTCCTTATAATTTGATTCTTACATTAATGGTAACATTTGTGGGCTGTCTAGCATGAGAAAGACAGCTATTAAGGTCAATATAAGTGAAATTGTGTGATCTGATCAATATATTGCTAAAGATTATGCAGGAATGGACCTCTAAAGATTAAAGCAAGATAGAAGAAGGTGCTACACTCTTAAAGAATGTAATGCTTTCACAACTTATACATTAAAGCTTGATGTTATTTTCAGACAATATATCACCAGTGTCACTTAGAAATTTGTAGGTAGCCAATCTCTAAACTATAATTTGAAAAAATCCTGAAACTCATGAAAACGCTGTTGGCTTCTACATTCTAATAATGCCACAAAACTGACTTTCCAAACTGTAGCACTTAAATTCAGACCAAAATATAGGAATCTTTTTGCTTGTTTTTCCAAATAGGCAGCAAAGAGTAGGAAGGAAATTTCCAAAAGAAGCAAATGATGATGTCTTACAGACTTTGGAGGGTGACAAATGGGAAGACATCTACTTATGAGTTGCCTTTCTAAGACAAGATAAAGTCTAAGAGACCTTGTAGATGAATGGTTGTCTTCATCTTCAGCTGAGTCAGCTGAGTTTTCTTCTTCAATGAAGTCTGTGTCGATATTATTTTGATCTCGAATAAAGCTACTGGCATTTTCATAAGACAAAGAAAATCCAACATTTTGGAAGGAAGGAAGAATTATATTTTCAGAGGACTGTTGCATCACAGCTGGAGAATAACTTGTAGTATGACTTTGAAACCCAGAATGAAGGTAATCTTTTGCATTTCTATTTAATAGACCACTTTCTTGTCTATCAGCAGCAAATTTACTTGCTTGATTGGAGGAGGAAACAACAGTTGGAAGAGCAAAGAAAGATGCCATGCTTTGTTGAAAGAAGGTTCTATCAATGGAGTTCCGACGGATTGCAGTGGGAACTTTTGCCTCAAAACTCACGACATGCTTAGGGATATATTCATGGTCAGAGAAGCTTTTTTGTTTTGGAATCTCAGGATTACTTGGGATTTTAGAAAAGAGTTCAATTTCCTTTAGATTTAACAGGTCCTGATTACTTGATTGAGGATCAAAAAGAATGGAACTCTTGTAGCAGGAAACTATACTTAGTTTACGGGAAGAAAATCGTCTTCCAGATTTGGCAGTACCAAAAGTATCTGAGGAAAAGTCTTTATCATTGTAGTTTATGTCTTCTTGAAACTCAAAGTTAACTCTACTTTGTTGCCGAGAAAGGGAAGAATGGTTCTTATAAAATTTAGCAAATAAAGATTGTCGTTTTTCAGAGAAATATGAAGGAGTAGATGTATTCGATATAGAAGAGAATTTTCTTCTTTTGGGTGAATGGACTTTATATGTTGCAGAAGGACGAGATGTTATAAGACCAAGAGATATAGTTGGTTGTGGAATAGAAGAGGCTTCATGATGGTCAAGTTCTGAAGTGGCTTGATCTTCAGTATGCTTTGGTTGGAAAATCTGGTCCTCTTTGTAGCAGCTAGAGTGAAAGAACATTCAAGTGAGGAAAAAAAATAGGAAGCAGAAAGGAGACCTGCCAAGTCTCCTATGAATAATTACCCACCTTACCAGCATGAATATTGATCTTATTGCCTACAGGGTAGCTGAAGCTGAGAGCCACACAGATGCGCCCAAAAGAATGTATGTAAAGGTAGGAGATGATCTCAATCTGCTTACAATATCTGCCCACTGTATTAAAGCTTGGGGAAGGAAGCTGAATCACTTAGAAAAGCAAACCAAAAGACAAAGGGAAACATCAGAAAGGTCATCAGTGTTAAAGATCCCCAGAAAGAAAAACAGAACTTCCAGGTTTAAAGATAACAAACCATAATGATCTATTTGAAACTATTAAATGACTATATATAAAAGACTTAACTAAACTAATTCAGCTTACTAATAGAACTTTAAAATATTAACCATGGGTCAAGGGTAATCTCTCTGGGAGGATGGTCCAATGAAATTACAGACTATTCCATATACCCAGTTATTATTGGAAATAGGGAAGCAGTAAAGCTTGGCTCATGAATGTTTTCAGTGTCTTTTACCATATGAGGCACAAAACACATGAAGTGTTTTTTATTGTTGTTTTATTTTGAAACACTTACCTTAAGCATTTTCCCATATTTAATTAAATCTAAAGTAAGTCTTCCCTTCTAGGCCATCATCCTTAAGCCGTAAAATGCCTCGTGTAGGTGGAACAGGTCAGAAGACTGAATTACTTAAGCTACATGTGGAATTAGCATGGCAACAACCCGGAATGCATGACAGCACTCTAGAATCTAATGACATCAGTTTAGAATGAAATTGTTCTGTGGCTCACCTTTCTGGAAAGCTGCAATTCATGTGGTGGTAGAATGTATATTCTGACTTCAATACATTCAAGAAGTTAGCCAACAAACCAAAGGTAAAAAAAAAAAATCCCGCTGGATGAGGGCCAATAAAATGCATGACAATTGCTCAGTTATTTCCTTAGGATTGTCTTTTTTTTTTTTAACCAGCAGTTTGTTTCATTCATCTTTCACTTGAATGTTCTTTATTCCAGGTTTTTATATCCTCTAGAGACATAGAAGAGGATTGTTACAGACTTTGGTCTAAAGATATATTGAAATGAGGACAAAATTTTAGTAACAAGTGTCATTTCCTACCTCCCCGCCCCAACAGCTTCTTCCACAATGAAAATAATGCATGCCATCTGATTGTCAAGCTACATGCACTGATTATGGAGATCTTCTAAGTCACTCTTCATCATCTTACACTTAGCTAATGATGAAATTAACAGAATTATTAGAAAATATTAACTGTTCTTCCATGTCTATAATTATTATATGAAATGTTTTTCTATCTCTATTCTAGGGCATTTGTTCCATTTGATCACTTCCTTATTGATTAAAAACAACTTGTTTTAAATAATTTATTACAGATTAGGCACAACATAAAGCACCTTTGGTATCATCCCACTTAAGATGAAGCAAAATAAGACATGCATTATTAACTACATTTTAAGATAAATCAATTCAGGTTTAAAGAATTGATTGATACATAGTTAACAGCTAAGGAGCTAGGATAAGAGTGATTCTAAAATCCAGGACCTCCATTATTGTTCTTGAAACCTTGTGGTTCCTTGGTTTCTGTCACACTTTGTCCTTTGGTTCTTTGTCCACTTTGAGCAATTGTCTTCTTTGTTCATTCAGCGCCACCCATTGTCAGTATGGTTTTAGAAGGCTATGTAGTATGTTCTCTTTTCTCTTCCCACATTGTATATTTTGCTTATACAGTAATATCCATTTTTACAGCACCTGGGCTTTGTACACATACTAGTGGGATGCTCAGGGTTCTCTCAACCCTGTAGCAGTTTCCTTTCGTGGGCTGTAGGTGGGTAAGTCTCATGCAGGCAGTGGCTTCAAGCTCTTAGCAGGTCCTTCTCAAGAGGCTCTAGTGGTACTTGGCACTTGTTGCTTTATCTTTAGTCCGTGGAGCTCTGGTTAAAAGACACTTACAGCAAATCTCTTTAACATATTGTTACTTTAAAAAGAAGTTAAAATTGTCAAACTTTTTTTTCCCACAACAAACCAAAAGTCCAGACAGTGCATGGCACAGAGTAGACATATATTCAATGAATAAAAGAGACTTCAGGTGGGCACCGGTGGCTGACACCTATAATCTTAGCTACTCAGGAGGCTGAAATCTGAGGATCCTGGTTCTAAGCCAGCCCAGGCAGGAAAGTCTATGAGACTCATCTCCAATTAACTACCAAAAAACTGAAGTGGTGCTATGGCTCAAGTGTTAGAGTGCTTGCCTTAAACTGAAGAGCTCAGGGATAGTGCTCAGGCCCAGAGTTCAAGCCCCATGACTGACAAAATAACAAAAAACAAAACCAAACCTTCAACTAATTAGTGATATCCTTTTTCTCTTGCCTGTCTGTCTCGGTCTCGTCTGTCTGTCTCTCTGTATCTTCCTCCCTCCCTCCCTCCCTCCCTCCTTCTCTCTCCCTCTCTCTCTCATCAGTGTTGGGCCTAGGTTCTGTCCCTGAAGTTTTTTTGTTGTTGTTCTTCAAGACTAGAGATCTACCACTTGAACCACAACTCTACTTCTGGCTATTTTGTGGCCAACTGGAGATGAGAATCTCATGAACCTTCCTTCCTAGGCTGGCTTTGAACCATGATCCACAGATCTCAGCCTCCTGAGTAGCTAGGATTATAGGCATGAGCCACTGACACTCAGCTCTCTTTTTATTTTTAAAGGGACGCAAGGAAGAGAAGACCTATTAGCAAATATACTAGAAGATACTTAATCTTACTATAGTTTCTAATAAGGAATTCACATTTCCAGGTGCCAGGGCTTACACCTATAATCCTAGCTAGTTTCTAGCTAGAGAAGAAAGTCAGCAAGGGTCCATCTCCAACTAACCATCAGAAAAGGCTGGACTGGAGGCATGACTCAAGTGGCAGAGTATCAATTGTGATCAAAAAAGCTAAGCAAGGGCATGAAACTCTGTAGTACAGGCTTCAGAGCAGCAAAGAAAAAAAAAGAAAGAAAAAGAAATGCAAATTGGAAATTAATGAGTAATCTCCATCATGTTGGCTAAAATTCAAACATCTGACAATAATTTGTATGGTGACATAAGAATTTTCTTATACAAATGCAGCAGTGGTACTGACTAGACACTATCTTGAGAATGAACTATACAACTTGTGGGTAAGGACAGGAGGGAAAAACTGGGTAACAGCAAGGGAAGGAGTGACAGTGTCCAAAAATAAATGTACTCATTACCTGACTAAGTAACGGTAACCCTTCTGAATATCACCTTTATAATAATAATAATTAAACAGTAAAAAAGAATTATCTTACATATGAATTCGTACCTTTGACGTATGATTTAGTAACATATGGATATAGTTTGGATATTATGGTTTGGATATTAAGTGTCTCTCAAATATGTGCATGAGCTGAAGGTTTTGCCCCAACTGATGGTGTTATTTTGGGAGATTCTGGAAATTTTAGAAAGTAGGGAATAGTTGGAGGAAGTAGGTCACTGAAAGCTAATCCTTGGGGATTCTATCTTTTCCCTGGAGGTCATGAAAAAGGTGCCTAACAATTCTAGTCCTAGCAATGAGCTCTAAGACTTATGACCAAGTACTTACATTTCTTTATGCAATTACCCTTTTATCCTTACTCTTTATTATATCTTTCCTCCAAATACTTCCTCCCAATTCCATGGCAACTTTGCAGATGATCATTCATGAAAGTAATATTAATTACTCTGTTCAGGGCATAGAACTAAGTCATTAGGAATCTCATATTGAAGATATAAGGTTCTTGCCTTCAAGAAGTTCAGCTTACATAATATATTCACTAGTGCTTTTATTTTTTCTTAACCAGTCTATTTTGCTCTCCAAAAAATACTAGTCAGAAACGATTTCTTATTTCATATGGTGTTTTTACCTGAAAAAACAATTACATGTTCTTTGTGTTAGAATTCAAAGAATTAATCCATATAAGTTTGAAACTTACATTTTCTCAAATCTTTTGAGACCTGCACATTCAATATCTACTAGCCCCCAGTAGCTATTTAAATTTACTTAATATTAAGTAAAACTCTAATTACAATGAAATAGAATACAAAATCATTCACTGCCTCAGTTGTACCATCCGCATTTTCAGTGCTTAAGACCCAGCCACAGATGGTTAGTGGGTACTACACTAAGGTGACATTGATGTAGCCTATTTCCATCATCACAGTAAATTCTATTTGACAGTATTGGTTTAGGGAGTTCCTATATAAGAGGTCATTTAGGGACCACAAAAAAATAATTATTAATTTTGGCAATTAGTGACTGCTAATTAGTTATATAACACTGAAAGACCCCCTCCCTAACCAACCAGGCCCTGAGCCTCTTTTTTTAGGGGAACAAAGTTTTGTATTTAACCAAGCTATTTCTGGCTTCTGTAACATGCTTTGCTAAGAAAATTATATTACCATACTCCCCTTTTGATAACTAAACTCACCAGTTAATCAATAAACCCACACCCTACTAACTAATCCCCCCCACCGGCCAGCCCCCTGGTGTGAGCGAACGACAGGCGCTGACTCGGAGAAAGGTCACTTCCTCATACCAAGGGCCGGAGACACACAACTAGGCACGTACACCGAGGGACCCCCTCGAACAGTGATTGGCCAAAACATATGATTTGTTTTAAAAGGATTGGATGCCTGCGTGCAGACCAGGTTGTAACACTTTAAATTTACTGGCTGAAAAAGCGCAGGCACTCCTGTAACGGACAGAGGGGTCCCATAAAAGGACCATCCCCGGGACTGCTCGGGGCTTCCAGACACTGACCCGAACCTTGCGGATCTCGAGGTCACGTGCACCTGGGAGCCTGGGCATGCCCAAATAAAATCCTCTTGCCTTTGCATCTGGTGTCGTCTGACTGGTGCTTGGGGCAGGGAGGTCCTGATTTGGGGGACACCCGAAGTCGGGGGTCTTTCAACACCACTTACCACTATTCACTAATATTCCTTTCATTAATGTGGTCTAAAAATAATCTAGCATCTATGATATTGAGCAAGGTTATATTATCATCTAAGTCAAAATAATTCATTTTCATTTCTTATTCATAGCAAAATAGACATACATAAAACTAAATAATAGCAATAACGCAATAAATAACCGATTCCACATGGGAAATACGGAAACTTACCCTCCTTCGCTTTCTGCTTCTTCTGAACTATTACTTGTTGCTGATGGCTGAACAGTTGTGGGCTTTCTCTTTCTAGCTCTGTGCTGAGGACTTGTCTTATGAACTGTAATCTTTCCTCCAAGTTCATCTTGTATATATTCTTCCAACTTTGGGATAGTTTCTTTAAGAAATCTGATATCTTCCTTAAGTTCTTCCACATTTGTCAGTAATTCATTGAGTTTCTCCAGAATTTGAAGTTGCCTTCTTTGAAAGATCATTATTGTTCCTTCATCACTACACTTTCCATCTTGAAATGTGATTGAATCAAATGAGTTCCCCAGAGAAAGAAATGTAGGTAAACTCATTGCTGCTCTTGGTTTACGGACCTTGTGGTACCACAAAACCAGCAGACTGATTCCAGCAGTTCCCACCATGATGCCAAGTACCAGTTCTTTGTTTGTGGAATGCGGCATTTCCTGTCTTTTGTTTCTAAAATCAAAAGCATAAATGTAAGTGAATGTTTTTTCTTGACTTTGTCCAAGAGCAATATTAGTGTTTTTCAATTAATGAAAGTCAATTTAACATGATAAACTGAAAGCTAAAGTATATTGTAAGTAAGCACCTCTATAAAATATGTGATTCAGGGCGGGGAAGGTGGCTCAGTGGTAGAGTGCTTGCCTCCAATACATGAGGCCCTGGGTTTGATTCCTCAGCACCACATAAGCAGAAAAAGCCGGAAGTGGCACGGTGGCTCTAATGGAGGAGGGCTAGCCTTGAGCTGTAAGAGCTGAGGGACAGTGCCAGGCCCAGAGTTCAGGCCTCACAACCGACAAAAAAAAAATGTGATCCAATGACAGTAGTTTCTTTAAGGCTATTAATGAAATCTAGTATAAAATAACTTTTAATTCAGTTTCTATTCTGCATACCTAAAAGGAAATTTATCCTTCACTTATGTTTATAAAGTTTATGTTTATAAACTTATGTTTATGTTTATAAAAGCAAAAGTAT